TTTTAATTATAGTTGGACACAATACCTTTATTTATTTATTTTTATGTGGTGCTGAGGATTGAACCCAGGCCCTCACACATGCGAGGCGAGTGCTCTACCGCTGAGCCACAACTCCAGCCCCATATTTTTTAATATACTGTTTCTATAGAGAAATGAACGTTTTTGTTTGACCCTTGCTCTTAGGAGAAAAGAAGCTGAGATCTAAAGGATACCAGAAAACAAGGACAGACATTATCTTTACTGTTTACTGGAGAAATAATTATGCAAAGGGACTAGAGTAGCTTTGATGAAGCTCTTCTGGAACTTATGCATTAAGATTGAACAACTCAATCTTTGTAAGAAAGGTGTTGAGGTGAAAGTATCATTTTAAAACTTGATAGTCTCATTGGATCCGAGGTCAAGGTCACATACCTAGCATGGAGGGTGGGGATTCCTCTAACAGAGTTGATATTTCCATAGTTAGTCCCCTAGGAAGATATGGCATGTGGGTCAGAAAATGGGACTTTTCTTGAAAGTGGATCCTAACCTGAGTGAGAAGAGTTGTTTTCTTCTCTGAGCTTCACAGTGGTTGGGTCAGGATACCCAAGTCACAGTCAGGGGAATTCTTGCTGGAGAGACAAAGCTGTGTTTTAGCACATGGACCCTTCTGCATCTAGTCTGTATAAGGGCTTTGAGATTAGCCATATCATACCTGCAGGTTACATCTTAGATTCTTCTTTTCTAAATACTGTTAGAAGTTTTAGCCTGGTCTTAGCTGTGCTACAGGGAGACTTTGATGGGAAGGACCTATACTTGTGATGTTCTGGTGAAAAGAGGGTAGTGCTCCTTCCTGTCCTACTAAGGCAATGGCAACGGTGAAGAAAGATCACTCCTGGAGAGGGAGAGGGGGAGGGGGAGAGGGAGAGGGAGAGGGAGATCTCTGATATCTCTCTATCTCTCTCTATCAGTGTCCCAGAAACGGAGGCAGGAGTTGTTATTTCAGGTATGTAGGGGAGAGAGCATCTTCTCTGGGGACTCCTTCATAGTAGAGAAAGGGGCAGATATCCTGATAATTTGGAAGGCAGGGTTTCAGAGCCATTGTAATTTACAGTTTTATTTTAAATATAGCATCCTTTATACTCAAAGACACATGAAAGCTATAACACACTGGTTCTCAAGGGCACATGAGGCCTTTTATTGAACAAACCCCTTCTATTCCAGGAATTCTGCTCAAGATTTGAGAGTTCAGAAAAAAACAAAGGTAACAAAGTATTTCTCAGTTTGACTCTATATGAACTCTTTCTAATTCTTTTTGGATTCTTCTGCTCCCGAATCTTGTTTTAGAGGTATACATTTAGATTGTTGCATTTCTTTTATTATTTTTTCATCCTCTATTTTCTTCACCAAGTGTTCTGTATCAGAGAGAAATAGTCTTTGTAGCTGGATATTAAGCACAAACATGGATGAATATCTAACTGGTTTTTCAATGAGGTGAGCATCTAAGCAGACATGATTTTCTTAGACTGGGCAGGAATGCTACTTAACACATTGGCACAGCAGTCACACTCTTACCCTGTTGATTGCATCTGTGGTCATACTTTGAAGAAAGACAGCATTCAGCTCCTTAGAGCTTTTCTGGATTCATGGTATTTTGCTTTTTTATTCTAACAGCTGCTTATTTGCATAACCTGTTAAAGACACTTCCCTTCCATTATACTAATGGGCTTTCTCTAGCTTCTTGGACTTTTTTTTTTTTTTTGCTCTTGTGCATTTTATAATAAATAAATATATATATATATATATAAATAGTTGGTATCGGGGATTGAACTCAGGGGCATTAGACCACTAAATCACATACCCAGCCCTATTTTGTATTTTATTTAGAGACAGGGTCTGAGTTGCTCAGCATCTCGCCATTACTGAGGCTGGCTTTGAACTTGAGATCTCCTGCTGGGATTACAGATGTGCACCACTGTACCAGGCTCATAAATAGCAATTTTTGCCTTCAATAAAAGTTCTTCCTGTTTGAAATCTTTCATTGTCTTCTCCCACTTATGCAACAAAGCTGAACTTTATAGAATATCACTTTGGCATATTAATGATTTTATGTATCTCTAAGACATTCCTGAAGTTTCTTCACAGATCTTTCTTGTCATGTAGACATTATCAAAATCTATTGATTCTAATTATTTCAGTTTAACATTTATAGAATACCTATTATGTTGCAGATTCCAAGCTACCTTCTGGGGTTACAAAGTAGAGTTCCTGCCTGGTTCTATGCCTAGAACACTTGACTCACTGATTTTAGTCTTATAATTTATTCTGCCAGGATTGCACTGGAAAGAGGAATCTCCTCCTATGGCTATTAAAAGCCACAAGGGAGAATCCAACCAATAAGGAGAGCAATCCAGATTACTAGGGTGATAAGTGGACAGGAAGAGATAGGGCGTGGTTGGGGGTGGACAAAAATGAATGAGAACCTTCCATGCAAAAAAATTGGGAGAAATATTGGAATTTAAAGACCCTAATGAAAAAAACATACTTTAAAGGTCAGGAGGCTGGGGATGTAGCTCAGTGGTAGAGTGCTTGCCTAGCATTAGGCCCCGAGTTTGAGATCTAGTATTAAAAATAAATAAATAAATCAATGATACGTTTTTCTAGCCTAACGTAGGTTTTTAATTTTGTTATGTTATATAATAAAGGCAATATAAACAAAAACAATAAGAAACAATGCATATTTCATTAATTTTATTTTGTGGTCTGGGGATTAAACCCAGGATCTCACCCATGCTAGGCAAGCACTCTTACAACTGAGCTACTACCTCAGTCCTTGCTATTTTAAATAAATATATTTATCACAGCATTAATGTTTGCTTCCACATGTTTTTTGTTTGTTTTATTTTGAGGTGCTAACGCTGGAACCCAGGGCCTCAGGCATGCTAGACATACTTTCTACGACTCTTAGCTCAACATGATTCTTTCTTAACATTTCTTTCCGTAAAAATCTGTGAGGAAGAATATCATGTCTCTTAGCGAAGTTTTAGTAAGGAACTTTAAGTCTTTAGATGTAGGAGTCACAAAGGAGAAAGAAGGCAATTTTTTTTTTCTTGGTGATGTATACCTCCTGACATATTGTGGTGTTTTGTTGAAGGAAGTCTGAAGAATTCTAGTTCTAAAGGTGCAAGGAAAGGATCAATACTTCCTGTTTCTTATCAGCTGAAGGGGCTCACCTCAATCTCCTTTTGTCTTCTGAAAATAAAAGAAAGGAGGCAAAGGATGTTAAAGTGGAAGGGTTAAACCCAGGCGCTTACCAACCTCTGCGGTTTCAACAGTTTTTACTTAAGTAGCTCCTACAAAGCAGATGTTCCCCGAAATAAGAGTAGTGGGGTACCGAGGCCCATAAGGCAGACAGCGCACAGCACAGGTGGGGGCCAGCAGCTCGGTCTGGAATGGGAGGCGCCTGTATTATGCAGGTGCAGGGATTGTGATCTCTCACTCTGCCGCCTCCTTGTCCTGCCTCCCGAGAGGGCGGGAACCGCAGCGTTGCAGGGTTCGGGACATGGCCCCTGAAACAGAGCAGAGCTCAAATGTATTCCTGGCAGTAGACATCAATCTTGATGGATACCCACACCTGGCCTGGGGAGGGGAAACAGCATCCATAAGAACCACCGGTAAGAGACAAGCCGCTGGTTTGGGACGCTAGAGGGCTGGTCTGGCTTGGCTGGGTATGACTATTCTCCGGTGATTGCTTTCCCCGCCCGCCCATCATCCCAGTACTCTATATCTATTGGATCCTCTATCTGCCACTCAGTTCTGCCGCGCTGACCCCCATTGGCCCCCTCCGACTGAGACCCCGCCCCAAGAGCTGGGCACAGGCAGTGGGGCTCCGGGGAGAGAGCCCAGCGCTTGCTCTGGGCTGGGGGGAAGCGGTGGTGGCTCCGAGAAGGAGGAAAAGGAGAAGGAGTCGGGCCAGTAGGAGGCAGCGGAGGCGATCGGGCCGGGGTGATGGTGCAGGTGCCCCCGGCGGGCGCGGAGCTGCCGGGCTGAGGGGCGCCTGGTCCAGGGTCCGCAGCGCCGCCGCGTCGCTCTCAGGGACGGGCGAGCGGGCGGGAAGATGCTGAGCAGGTTGATGAGCGGCAGCAGCAGGAGCCTGGAGCGCGAGTACAGCTGCACCGTGCGGCTGCTGGACGACAGCGAGTACACCTGCACCATCCAGGTCAGCACCGCGCCGCCTCGTCCGCGGGGTCCCTCAGTCCCACGAGTCGGTTAACTTGGCCGGTGGCTACCGCCCGGTGGTCTCCTCAGCCCCAGCGTCGCGCTTTTGTCCATTCTGCCTGCGGAGGACCGCCCGGATGCAGGGCTCCTTTGCCTGGAGCCCCTGCTGGGGTCAATACTCAGCGTCGCCGCGGACAAGTCAAAGCGCCCGGCCCCTCAACTCCTCTCCTGCTTTCTCTCGGGGGTGTAGGCGATGGGTTCTGACTCCTCGATCCCTACTGGGTCGGGAGCACGCTCCGCGGGCGTCCAGAGGGAGGCGGGCAGGGCGGAAGGCTCCTTCTCGGGCCGCCCCGTCGGGGGGCTCAGGCTTCGGCTCCCCGGCTGGGCAAGGACGACTGGCTGGCTTTTCTTAGGTCTTTGGTTGGAAGGATAAAGGTTTATGTCATAATTTCTTCCCTAGCATTTGTGAGTCAGAGCTCTCAGAAGGTGGAACTGAACGCGCAGCCCATGCAGAGTGGCCTATTGAAGGGAGCCCAGCCCTCTGGGCTTTAAAGATTTAGGCCCCCCTCCTGCCCTTTGATCCCGAAACCTTATTGTGTTAGGTATTTCTGGGGGGCGTAAGGTAGACACTTAGCAACAAGTCTCGGCTATTGGGGTGGTTGGCAGTGGCCAGAAAGAATCAGTGACTTAAAAACGTCAACAATACAGTAATGCTGCACAGCATTTCTTTCAGAACCTGCTATTTTTGAAGGGATTTTTACAACCTCTTGCTTATGCTTCTGCACTACTGCTGTGTGCCACGTCAGGAGTAGTAGTCTTTCCCAGGAATGCAGTCACAGCCCCCTCTTCTCCTTTATAAAGTCAGAGATTGAAAACATTTGACAATACTCCCGGTGTTTAGTTCATCAGCTACGAAGATTCTGGGCGCACAGCTAGTAACTGCTCTTTGTGAAGAAGCAAATTGAGTTAGACCTGGAGGGGTCTCACCTGATCCCTTTCCTTTGCAGTAAGAAACCAGAGGAGGCTTCTCTGCTCAGATGTGATAGACAAAAACTGCCTGCCGGGGTCTTTCCTCTTTGGCATACCCACCCCCATTTATTTATTTATTTTTGCTGACAATGCTCAATAACGGAAAATAGCGGTGTGTGAGAAAGACGCTGGGTAGTATATGAGAGCAGCTGCTCTCTGCTGACTCTGTGCTCAGTTCAGCCTTTTCTCCGCTTTCCTTTCCTCCCTCTCCCCAAACCAGCTCTGGGCCCAAGTGATGACTGCTGCCAAAGATCCATGAGGTTAAAGAAAGAGCCATTTAAATACAGATTAAACGGTCCTAAAGATGCCATCAAGTAAAAGGATTTTTGTAGTTGAATATGGCAGAGAAATGTTATGTATTATTTCCTTAATGAATGAGTGGCATACTACTTTTTTTGTCTATTGTATCATTGTGCCACGTATAGTTTTTTGTTTTGGTGGAGGAGGAAGATAACATGGAGTTGATATTTTTGTTATTTGATAATATTTGAAGTCTATATCCGTTTGTTTTGAAATTGAAGGCATTTTTACACAATAGCCTATCAAGAGCAGTGTGAGATTTAGACTTCATGAGTCTTAAGAATAGTTTTCCTGTATGAGGTGAAATAAAATTTCTGGAGCAGGTCATTAACTTTTACCAAGGTATAAAGTATAATGAACACAATTCACATTACCACTCCACTAGAAACTATTGATAACCTTGTGGCTTTAAGGTCTCATAATAAGGGAACTAATTATTTTTCCCAGTTGGTGGAACTTATGAGGTTGGTTGATTGGTATTACAATTGTGGGTAGTTTTTTTTTCTCTCATTGTCATTGAGAAAAAGAATATTTTTAAGTTAAAAAGAATATTTTTAAGTTACACAGGACTCACTGGATTTATACTTGCTATATCCTACTACAGTTGTATTTGTTTTCTTGCTCTTATTTTACATTATTATTACAATTTAATGCTATTTAAAAAATTAAGCATTGTGTAATTGGTCACACTGTAGTCAGTGTCACAGTCTAGATGTGTTAATGATTGTGCATTGTGATTCTTGTATGGAATCTAAAAAATAGGAATTCTAAAGTATATGTAATGTCATTCTTTGGCACCACTATTTGAATTGCTTTTGTTTTAACCCATGTGAGGAAAGATTATATAAAAGAAATACAGTATCTTATATGAAATTAATATTTTTACATATAGCTTTTTGATCATTTAGAGATTGAGATTTTCTTAACAACTTGTCCTGTACATTTCTATTGTGTGTGTGTGTGTGTGCACGTGTTTGTTTGTCAAACACTGGGTACAGAGTCTGTTAAATTAGTATGGAAAGGATGGGTAAGCTTCTTATTAGGTGAAGCAATATTTCCAACAACTTAAAAATTGTAGTACTGTATATATAAAAATTTTGGGTGCTAATTTGAACTCTTTTTTTCCTTGAAGTGTTGTTATGTCATGTTTGTGTTTAAATAAGGGTTTGTATTTTAGAAGGATTTTTATGACTTTTAAGATAATCAGAGAACACTTAAGTTATTACAGGACTAGAAATGTATCACTGGGTTGTAATCATGATAGTCATATTTGGTAAATTTCAGTTGTAGGCAGTTCTGTCAAAGTATTGGTCAAGGGTTTCATAATGCAGCAGCTACACTGATCTGGCATTTAGGATGTGCTTATTAATGTAATCAAAATGCCTTATATCTTCTCAATGAAGGATGTCACAGTTTCTTTCTTTCTGATATACAAATGTATTTGTAGACCATGAGAAATGAAATCTTACATTGGAGGTCTGTAGTATAATTGCTCCCCTGTGAAGAACATTGTTAATAGCTCCCTGCCAGTTTTGAAGGTCATTGCCTCATAAGTGCAGAACTGGTCCATATTTTTCACTTATCTGTTTTATTATGCATATCTATTTTATGTTCCACATTTACTACCTTACTTTGTTATTTTATTTGGGAGAAAAATGGGAAAAATGAAAAATGAGAAAGCTATCTAATGTCTTTGAACTCAAACTGAATGGAGTCATTGAAATGCCTAGGCATGGAATATCCTAAGGAATATATTTTTAAACTATCTTTTTTGTTATAATTATTCATAAGTTATTAAGAGTATACATTGCAGAATTTTTTTAGTAGAAACATGTATTAAAAATACATCAAGTGAGAAATTTTAATAGTTTTTTTTTGTTATTACTGAAAGGTAAAGGTATCCTAGAAGTGAATTTGATTTTAATAGGGATACATTAAAATAACTGGTTAAGTAGCCAGGTTAAACTGACTTTTAAATAAATTAGAACCATAAATAAAATGTAAGTGCAGAGGCAGTTCTACAGAGGGACCAATATTTTGATTTGATTGTGGCTTATCCCCTTGGTAATTTTGGCATCTGGGGCGGGGGGTAGGGAGAGAACAAATGAATTGAGTCCTGTGCTTGCCAGGCACTCTACATGTATTATTATCTCCTTTCTGTCACCATAGCATTATGGATTGATTATACATCCATTATACAAGATGAATGGAATTGAGGATTGGTGGGAGAGCACTTGCTTATCGAATGTCTAATTATTTTACTGAGTGTGCTGTTAGATGCTTTGCTTACACCTCAATCAACCATTTGAGAGGTAGGTGGTTTCTATTTTAATGATGAAAAAACAGGTCTAGGAGGTCAAAGAAATTTTGCTCAATGTTAGTTGGTGGCTGTAATATACTTAAGAACTGATCTTTTTCTCTCTTAATTCTGTTTTTGTTTCCTCTCTTCATCTTTTTTTAAAAATGTTTATTTTATTTATTTATTTTTATGTGGTGCTGAGGATTGAACCCAGGGCCTTGCACGTGCTAGTCGAGTGCTCTACCGCTGAGCTGCAACCCCAGCCTCTCCTCTCTCCATTCTGACTTCCCAAGTCATTTTATCTCTCTTACCTTCATTTCCTCATCTGTAAAATGGAAATATCAATACTTATTTTATAGTCAAAAGAAAATGACTTGAAAATATTACAAATAATAAGGATCACTTAAACAGACTAGTATATTACATTGTGGCTTATTCGAGTCGAAAATAGAATTGGAAAATGTTTTATTCTTTTTAAAGAAAATAAATCAGTTTATTCATTAAGTGCCTTTAAAATGATTTCTGGTTAATTTCAATGAAATTTTAAAATCCTAGATTGGAATACCTCGATTCTTTATTAGGATTCTTTTTAAAAATCCTTTTTAAAAAGGAGTTCATATTTACCTTCCTTCTATCCTGTCACGTCTTTGGCTTCAGAGGGGCATTTATTCCTGGAGTATGATTTGTCTTTTCTAAAAATTTCTGCTTCATATTAAAAAGTGGAAGCCTTGGTTTCATTAATGCAAAAGGAATGTTTTTAGAAAATTAGATAATTTTATTCACAGAGAAAAACACAAAGTTATCATATTTTCATGTTGATTTGTACTTTTTTATTTTAACAGATAATTATGCTTTCTCAGCATCTTTGTTACAATAGCAAGTCAGTTAGACTAGCTCTTGAAACTAAGATAATTCCAAAATTAGCCTTCTAGAAATCCTAAAACACTTATATTGTTTCTTAATTTCTATACTAAATATTTATTGTATAAAGCTAATTGAAATCCATCTTTTTTATATAGAAGGTAAATTCTAGATACACAATTGTGCACTCATTCTTTTTCCTGTTTAAGGAAGAGTCAGTGGAATCTGAGAGAGATCCAGAAGGATTCACCACGGCAGATTTTACTCATGGGTATTTGTATGAATTTGCATTCTGTTAAATGTTTGGAATCAATATATTCAACATAGTGTCTAATATAAAAAAAGCATGAGGTTTTTGAGTCCTTTATTTGTTACAATTGCCCAGGGACTCATTTATCATAGTTGTGCTCTCATTCATATCAAACTTAGAATAAGACATTTTTGTTGTACCTTTGTAGTGGTTTTAGGTATAGGCATAAAAATGTATAACAAAATAAGAGGTAAGGCATTAA